AAACATGTTGGAATGCGAATGTATTGTGTGTGTGTGTGTGTGCGTGTGTGTGTGTGTGTGTGTGTGTGCGTGCATTCGTCACTGTGACTTAAGGGGAGTCTGCTTATTACTGTGTTAAAATCAGGAGGCTGAGTCATCAGTGCATGCTGTGTCTGCTCTTCTCTTTCTCTCATTCTCTCTCTTTCTCTACCTTCATCCCTGCTGCTGTTGTTGGCCTAATACATTTCATGTCTGTCTACAATTTACCAACTCATCCTTCTCTTTTCCTAGTGGGGTAGAAAGCCTGTAAGAGGTAAATGATTAAAGAGGATGTGTGTGAGTGTTTTTTGTGGATGCCTGACAGCTAAGAGATTAGATTTCCTTATTATTACTAAAAGAGACCCTTAGGCTATCACACACACACACACACACACACACACACACACACACACACACATTGACTTACATTAATTTTATGGCATCTTACCCTAACATTAACCCAGGGATGGATTTGGAAAAAAAATCGGAACTGACATTTTTGGCCCAAGCGGCCCACCAAAATGGGTCAGACACCCCTCACCAATACACCATCCTTCCATATAAAACATGTTTACCTACTGCAATAATCCCCCAAACCAACTGAGTGGTATGTGATGCGGATCAGTGTTCTCATTCACACTCATTTAATGAGTCCCTGGTAATCAGAGGTGGCCATGGAGTACACAAGTCATACTCAAGTAAAAGTGGCTTACAAGTCATTTTCACAGCAGCGTGGGATTATCCAATGCGATGCTGACAAAACCACCTCATCTCAGCCATTAGGGAAGTTAGCTAAAGTTAAGACTACATTAGGAAACTATGCGAGCTACAAAAACAATATCAAATAGCTGATGCAGCGTTGTTGGACAGTGAGTGATCACCAGCAGTAGGTGATAGCCTTACTTTACGATAGCGTTATGATTATGATATTATGATTGACCATAACTGAAGTAATCATCATCATTGCCATTATGGCATGGCACACACATGGCATCACTTTGTGTTGAAAAGTGGTGGGGACATTTAAGGGCTCAAATTAGAGGTGTGACGAAACACTTAGCCCACGAGACGTGACATTGCACAAGACTGGGGTCATGAGAACAAGACACGAATATACTTTAATACAATTTAGAAAAAATATTTATTGATTATTATTATCATCATTATTATTATTATTATTGAGGTTTCTCCCTCAGAAGATTTTGAGCATTAAACACTTAATTTTCTGCATTCTGGAGACATTTTCTGCACCATTTCATGTTTTAAAGGGAAACCCGAAATTCAGTAATCAGTAGCTTGTTACTTTTTTGGACAATGCAGATCTTTCTTCTATATTTACATACCTGCATTGCAGGTTTTCTTATTGTGCAAATAAACCTTTCTCATAGCATTTTCATTTGTTAATTAACATTTCTTGGTGCAAGTTTTCTTTTGGAACGTTTTTAACAAATGCTTTCCAAAAGTGGTGGGTACATGTCCTTAGCGTCCCCAGTGTAAATGACACCTATGACCCTAACCTCCCTGATCCCTCCATACAGCTCCATGTTAGGCTTACTAATGTACCTCCACTCTCCTTCTGCTCTCTCTGTCACTTTTTGTCACTCTGCTCTACTGTCACACGCCTCCTCCTCTGCCTGGCAATGGCCATGGCTCTCCTTTACTCCTTCAGGTGCCTGTGGCTGCACAAGGTTGCATACTACAGCTGATGTTGAAGCTACTGCAGCCTCAATAGCAAACATATCGGTTATTTTCCGGCATTTGGCGGCAGCCGTCTTAAGATTTTTTTTGGGCCTGCAATGCAAGAAACAGAGGGAGAAGGAGTGGGGGCTAGTAAGGCTGTGATTTGGCCAGCCCAGTGTCAGTACAGAAAATTACCCAATGGGCCGCTGTCCGTGCTTTATGGGCCGATCGTTATTTATTTAAACAAATAATTTACGTTACACCGGCCCCAAATGTTCGTCGGCCCACCAGGCATTTGTCCGATACGCCAGATTACCAGTCCACCCTTGCCTTAACCTAAACTTAACCTAACCTAAACTTAACCTTAAACAAAGTTTCACACCAAAATGTAATGATTTACTTTATGGAGACTTGTGTTTTGTTCCCATAAGGAAGGTGAGTCCCCATAATGTCCTGTCACCTATCTACACCACAGCTTCTTGAATGAGTTATTTAAAAAAGGTTTGCCTTTCGGGAATGATTTTTATAAAGTACATTGTACCGTGTACCTTGAATGATTTTTCTCCTCATTTTGCTCAGACAAAAGCCTCAAAGCTGAAAATCCTTGACATGTGACATTTTCAAACTGCAGCAAAGATAACAGAGCAGCTGGTGTTGTGTGTGTGAAGCTGCGTCACCTTGTCATTGGTATGCCACAAAAATGTCAACCAGTTAAAGAAAATAAATATTACTTCTGATGTTGCTAAAATAAAATTTACTGATTAAGTCAGATGGCATTGGCACTGTCAACAAGACAGGAATGAACTTTTATTTGTGTCCCAATCAGTACTGAGAAAATCAATATATAGTATGTATATAATACCATAAACAGGTAACAAAATTCTTTAGATATAACTCCTCGTGTATGTGGAATATATAGTGTGAAAGATTGTAAACATGTCCTCAATTATAGAGAGATACTCCCAAAGGAGACTTGTCTCACACCTGTGCACACAGAATGGGTGGAGCATTATATATTTAAGATTAATGTTTTAAGAGTTGTTTTTTTCATGAAGGTCTAGAGGGACCAAAATGTTAGTTGCCTGTGATCAATAAATTGTGATGCTGAGCAAGAGCAGTGTGCTGGATCTTCTTTTCTCCAGGCTAACAGAAATACAAAATAACACTACATTTTAAGTTTCAAAACATATGATAACATTTGGCCTGAACTGATGCAGTCCCGTTTAAATGGTGTGCCAAATGCACAGCCTGCAGACTCTGATTATTACAGTAGTGCACTCCAACTCTCTGAATATCAACTCGTGCTATCCTGAACAAATTCATTCACGTAATCCAGAAATTCTTAAATCAATGAGTACTTAGAATGGCATGAACACTGTTCAAAGCCACAATGGGAGTGTTTGTGGAAATCATCAGCCTGTGCAAGCAATTGGCCATGAGGATATTTTGTCATATTCTTCTATAGGAATGTTCTCATGCCATGGCCATGATCACACAGGCCGCAGTTTTCGCAGTCTTTTTCCAGTTGTTTTCTATGGGCAGTAAACATTTTGCAGTTATGACATAAACTTCAACATAAGCAGTGCAGTGTGCCACTGTCTGATCAGGGCCTAGTCTCTTTATTGGTATTTACCATGGTCACTAGAGGCGTCCTTGTCAACTTCCTCACAGAGCAACAGTCCTGCCTTGCAGACCATTATTTCATCTGCGAAGTATGAATCTGCGCCGAGAGGAGGGAGCAGGGTGCTAGCGACAGACAGAGAAGTTAAAGCAAGGGAGAAAAAAACTAAGAAAAAAATGGGTTAAAAGTAGGAGGCAAGACTGAAGTTTTAAATTAAAACAGACAGGAGAGACGAAAAAGCAAAAGGGAGGATGCGAGGACGAAGAATGGGGACAAGGTAACATGACAGAGTGTAAGAGCAACAGTGATCTTGGAGATGAGAGCCTAAAGCGAGAAGAGGTGTGAAAAAGAGGAACTAAACGGCAGCAGCATATGACATAGAAATTTCATCAGGGCTCCTCCAGGGCATCTTATGTGACAAATTTTGTGTTAAGAAGCAGGGAGAGTGAGCGTATGGTGGTATGTAAAATTGATGGCGCAAGAGTGCCCATCTCGCCGTGTGGCATAATAGCCCTGCAGTGATTTTCATGCCATTTAAAACCATGTGATATTGCTCCTCAGTCTCTAGTTGGGTTAGGTCATTAAAGATTTAAAAACAAAATGAAAGACAGATTTGTTGTGTGTGTGAGTATATCTGTGTGTGTATTGGTGGGGGGAGTGTTGGGGGAAAATGGGAACAAAAGGGAGATGGATGAATGTAGAGATCAAATAGCAAAATAAAAGCAAGCGCAAATAGCTGAGATTAATCAAAGGGGGGAAAATAAAAGGTATGACGAGACACAGAAAGAAGGTGGGAGTTTTGCTAAGCCAGCACTTCAACATCCCCTTCACAGGTCAAGGGTAAGGGGCCTGGAGTGTGGGTCTATGCGTGTGCTTGTGTGTGTGAATAGCTGTGTTTGCTCCAATAGAAGTTGCATCTGAATGATTCTTTTCAGTGTTGACTCTGCATAGATTTACAACAGATAGGAAACAGCCAGCGGGGGAGTGTTTGTCAGTTTGATTTGTAGTTTGGGTGAAACCCATACGGTTTCAAAAAATGAATAACTTCAAGCAGCTATGTACCACTAGAAACACCGGTGACAAACTCTTTTTTCAACTTCAAAGCATTTCAGAGGCGCTTATTGAACATGCATTGATTCTGCTGCCTGTTCTTCCTTCATCACCCTCCTGGGATTTCTGAGATTTAAGCCAGTGACTCACTGAAATGGAGTGAAAGCTCCTCATTGAGCCGCTCTGTGTCCTGCTACGCTGATTTGGGATCAGATAACCTTACAAGAATCTTAATTGCAGAAGTTGATGGAACATTAAACATACCTTTCTGTGTGGACGGGGGGGTGGGCAGCATGGGGTTGAGGGGTCTTTTCTGTCTGCATCCCTCTTCCTAGCTGGGCTGTCCTTTTTTAGTGTTCGAACATAGGAGATTCTCCTTTTAATGCTTCTGCCCAGCTCCTCTGCTTCTGCAGAGACTTGTTTGGTCCTGCTTTGTTGGACCCAGTCCTGACTAGAATGGGTAGGATGTCCCAATGCCAGGGGTGCAGGTGTTCCCCACTGACCCCTCTCCAGGTAAACATGAATGCACACACACACAGCCGTGAGCAGAATCCCCACACGCAGCAGCAATCCCCAGGTAAGTCGCTCTCTGCCCATGTCCATCCACTATTTTGTCCTCTCTGTCTTGCCTCAGTCCATCTCCTCAACGTGAAGTGCTGCTTTGCCTTTTGCTTCTTCTATCCCATTCTTCTGCTCCCTCTCGTCAAAGAGTTGCCTTTTCTGGTCCAGCCTCCCATTCCCTTCAAGTCCAAAGTCCACCAATAGACCATAAGACCAAGAGTATGAAGTTAATGAACCACGATCATGCCAAGAACATTTCTGTTACACACATGTGCCTGCATCTTAACCCGAATGATTTTGTGCATGCTTGTGTGTGTGTCCATGAGGCTCTGCAAACAGATTCAGAAGTACAATGTGTGCCACCCTCTTTGAAAACTTTGGGAACTCCCTCCTCACACTCTCAAGTCCCCCATTCCCCAAACACACACGCCCCTTTAATTTGCTTTCTTTTTCTTTCTATCAAGCTTACATCACACACACTTCTCTGCAGCTCTGCCCCCTCCCTGGGGTTGCCTCTCCCTTCCTACAGACTCTCAAGTTACTGTGTAACTCTAGATATGGGCAGGGCCTGCACCATGAGCCCATGCAAGTCCCTCTCAGCATTTGCGAACATGTTGGCTCTCTCACCGAACAGGACAGCTCAGCTTGTATCACTGTGATGATCAAGTCCTTTTTTTGTGCCTCAAAATATACAAAAATGAGAGCTTAAGGAGATGTTTCAATCCTAAAGATGTGTAATAAGTACTCTTAGAGCCCAAAGGTACTGTATGCATTCCTTCATAAATGTTCCACAAATCAGTTAGTTCTTGAAATATCTGGCAACTTGCTAAAACTAACTTCTGTGTTTTATTCTCCTTGGCCATAATTAATTTTAGCTAATAAGCTAATAATCAGAGCTTCTTCTTGTGCACCCATTTATTAAATATGTCACTGATATTTTAGACTAAGCGAGGGCACATCATTAATCAGGCTTGCCAAAGCGGGGTTTTTTGGGAAGGAGAAAAGCACCGCCCACAGCAGTTTAACTGGGAAGGAAGTTAGGGTTCATAGAGCATCCTGACAGCTAAACCTTAGAAAAATAAATGCATGATAACGACATGGCTCTGCTGTTAAGAATCAATGGCAAACTTTTGTCTAGATATTGGCTTTAAAATAGCTTTCTACTGCCCCCTTTGGAGTAGAAATAATATTTCTCCTGCCTCTCTATTACAGTAATGAGAGCACATAGGTATAAGCATGTTGGATGCAAAACTGCACCTCACTCCTTTCTGATCAGTTTCACAATCATTTTGGTTTATACATTTTGGTTTATACATTACCATTCACTGGGAAGTCTTGTTGCCATAGATGATAAGCTGTTATGAATCCATTTAAAAGCATTTGTAAGTATATGTAGTTTTTTGTAGTGTTGTGGGATTTAAAACAGCTCTGACAGTGTATGAATTATCTTGTAGTTGTAGGTGCTAGTTTAGTACTTCAAGCAAGAATAAAACGGATGCCATGTATGTTGACAATCTCTACTACTACCCAGTGGTTAGTACTTTTTTTTTATATATATATATATATATACTAAAAGTATATATAAATATATAACTAAATAATAAAAAAATAAAAAGTAATAAAAGTAAGTTTAGTACTTCAAGCAAGAATAAATAAGCTATGTTGAAATCTCTACTAAGTGGTTAGTAATTTTAATAAAAAAAATAAAAGTAAAAAAATAAATAAATAAAATAAAAGTAAGTTTAGTACTTCAAGCTAGAAAAAAACAGATGCCAGCTATGTTGGCAATCTCTACTACCATCCAGTGGTTAGTCATGAACACATGTGGGATGGATTACAACATAAAAAAGAATGCCTGAAGAGATGTAGGTCAAGCTGTGATTGGACTGGCAATGTTACTTAAGAATCAAGAAAGAATACACAATTGAACCGACTGTAGAAATTATTTCATTAAGCAGAGCAACGGTTCGTTTTAAAGTGTGGCAAAGGTTTGGTTCTGTGTATTTCTGTTGTGCACAAAGAAAAATCCAACGTTTGTCCTGGAAAAATGAACAAAATGACTCAGAATGTTAGACACATGTTTCTGATGTTGCTTTCTCAGACTGAACACAGGAGAATTTTTTCTCTCTGAGACAGCGTTACACATATTGCAATGATTTGTCAGGATTTGGCCAAAATCCACTGCCACATGGAATGCATTCGTGTCTGGCTCCTCTCCTCTCCTCTCCTCTCCTCTCCTCTCCTCTCCTCTCCTCTCCTCTCCTCTCCTCTACCAGCAGAAGCCCACTGTTAAGTCGACAGATTGACCAAATACCATTAAACCCACTTGGGAGTCAGTTGCTGTTTGATTTTGATGACAAAAAATATTGATGACCATGACATGATATGGTTCAAAACATTTAGTCAAATAATTACATCACATAGACTTAAACTTAGATGTATTAGCTGTTGATACCCACTACAAAAAAAGTGTAAACCCAGCATTTGTTCACACAATGAGTGTGCACAAGTGTGATTATAGGCTATAAAAAATGTGAGGTGAGGCTTACTTTCAGGTTTACAAATTCAAGATAAAGAGTGCAGTTGACTTGTAGGTGGGATTTACTTGATGCTATCTTGTAAACAAACAGCATTTCCCCTGATAGGTGTTGTGGTGTATGCAGGTTTCACAACACACCAAGTAAAATTAGATTCAGCTGGACTGAAATAAAAGGCTGAAGAATTCGCTGAGACCTTGGCAAACGTTTTGAAATCTCCCTCGGTGGGAAGCAGCCAGTTGTGACAAAAGCAGGTGAATAGTTAAGTTTGTTGTTTTCTGCTTCTGGCACACTCAAACACAGAATAATCCACACTTTGTCCAGCATCACTGTAATCCACTCACACATGAGAAAATCCCCAAACTTTAAAAACACTGAGTCACAGATCAATTCAGTAACTCCAGACTGAATTAATTAATGTATAATGTATTTTACTGTATTATACTTTAGGGTGCCCAAAAACAGCTGGAAAGGGGACTGCTGATGAAAACTAGCCTGTGGCAAACACGGGTACATTTACATTTGCTTTGAATGTTGATCAGTGTACACTGTCCCTTTTCAAATAAACAAATAAACAGTAAGAGTATTCATCTGAGGCCATGAAACCAGTCTGCTCAAGCTTCTTTCTTCCACACCTTCAACAAACACCATAGCAGAACAAGGCGTGTGCAAAAGCATCTAAACACCTTTTATGCTTAATGACACATGAAATTTCATCAGGTTCCTCTCAATACCTTTAATAACAAGTAAGGGAGTGGACAGTAAAAAAAAGCTGACAGGTAAGTGGGAGGAGAAGGAAAGAGGTAAAAGTCAGCAGAAAGTTGTGTCAAAACACAGTTCTTCAAAAAATGTATCAAACCTCAGCGGCTACCAGCCAACTGTCAACAGGATTTTGTTCTCCAGAATAGCTAATGACATGATATAGCTTATATATTATAAGTAATATATTATGTAAGTATAATTACCAAAATCAAATCTTACAAACACCACTGTCTGGCATACATGTGTAAGACGACAACTCTGCCTGCACTGTCTGATTAATGGCAACAACATCTGTCTGTGCCATAAATCAATCTCTATTCAAGTTGTAAAGCAACCCAATACATTTCTTGTGACATCCAACCTTTTGGCATGCAAAATAAAACCCAATTTGGAGGCCAGAAAAGGTGGCAATCCTCCTCCTCATGAGTTGTTTTCTGCAGTAATCAAATTGGAGTCTCATTTATAAATGGTCAGTCTGCATGAATTACATGTTTCAATCTCTATTGCTTGATTATTTCCCATCGGACGGAGTGGAGCAGATGGCGGGTCAGTGTGATAGCAAAAGCAAACACTGTCATAGCTTGTAGTACCAGCCAATAAAAGGTGCACTAAGTCAATACAGCCTACAATAAGTGCAAATATCAATTATTAATCAAGGGCCCCAGCAATAGCCTTTGTTTGTAATGGAGATGTTAGCTGGGATTTCATACCATAAATGAGGTGAAGGTGATGGCACTTAACTGCATATTTGGCTCATAATAATAAGAATGAACTTTACACACATCTAAACATGTGCACCCTCGCCCTATCCTTGAACACTTGTTTGGACTATTAGTTTGACAAAACACTCTATTTGTAGAGGTCACTTTTTGTTTTCTGGTGTCCTACAGACCAAACAATTAATTGTTTAATCAATATGGCAATGGGTGAATAACAGAAGGTAAATTATGCACCCATCACATGTAGGTGTAAAGCAAACAAGCATTGATGAAAAGAGTTGTAACTGCATGCTGACTCTGAGCCACAGATTTATTTAAATGCGCGGCTATCAACAAGTCTAAATTAAATTTGCAACATATTCTTCTCTACTTGGTGTCAGAGTTTGAAAAGGTGAAGATGTAAAAACTCCTCTTGGAGAAGAGGGGTAGTCCTGTCCTGCCCTCATCAGATTACTCAATAATGTAAATAGGGGAGACCGTGTAGGGTTGTAACATGGGGAGAGTTGTAACAACACCAATTCCACCAATTAGAGATGAGATAGGAATGAGGTAATCTTTTCAGTATTTACCTACTTCCTCCCTGATCAGGTATGGTGGTTATCAAGTCTGGAAACAGGTGCATTCAGAATGTAGAGAAAAAAATGATTTTAAAGTTTTGTTTGGTATCTATACTATTGCAGATAAAATTGTTTGACTTATATTAGATTGAAATATAGTTTCTTAGGCAGCATGTGATGCATTTTTTCCTTTCTAATTTCAAACCACTATGCTAAAACAGCTAGCTAAACATTGTCTGACAGGGTTGACTTGCTACACTGCTACAACCATCCTCTATACATAAAACTAGGGACTTTCTTGATTTTAATATTTTACAAAGTGCCTTTGCAGTCTGGGCCCACCAAGCCTGGACTCCAGGGTTACCCGCATTTATTTGTCAGCTCTGTGACCAGTACTTCCTATTCACATGTTGTTCATGTTGCCATGTGTATCGGCACTCAGTCTTTTCCGTACTCGGCCTCTGCCAGTGGAGAGGGCAGAGAAGCGTACAGGCAGCTTGTGAAAAATGTGCACAAAAAAAGTCCCTGTGCGCCAAAGAGTAAAATATAGAAGTACTTGTACTGCGTACCGATGAGTACCCGCCCAATTCAAGCACTGACTGTGACTCTGAATAAGAATATACACACATTGACACAGACACACACCTCTTTTTTGTTAGACCTAAGTATGTACAAAGATATTCTTTAATTAGGTACATTTTAGTAGTATTTATTATGTATATATTATGTATATTATGTATTTATTATGTATACTGTTAAGTAAGTGTATTCTATAGATAAATTTACATACACACACTGTACATGCACCAGTCATCAGAGAGTCTGTTACAGTGAGAGAGAAACATTGTTCTTTTATGTCAGTTCCTGTTTTTGAAGCATATGGTGTGGCATCTAATTTTGCTCCTTTTGTCTTATTGTTGCAACTTACCCCTGCATTTCTTACAACCTACCCCAGTAGTGGGGTAGGTTGTAACAAGAGAACACAATGCATTTGACATCAACTCATGAGGTCTGTGACATTCTTGTACAGGATTGAATTGGTGCCATTTGTAGTAAACAAATGTGGATACTTTGTATAAAAGCCACAAAATTCAGCAGGTTATAGTTGCTGAAGCAAAAAGTGTACCTGGTCTCCCCTAGTCATTAGTTGCAGCCCTGGTAAATGAAAAGAGGAAAATGAAAAGAGGAGGAGGACAGTAGGGATCCAGCACGTTTGTTTACAGATGAACTATGACCTAGTGATGATTGTGAACTCAGCAGCTCATTACCACCCTGCTTAAGTTGTAGACATTAGGCATATTTACAGCAGCTGTTTGTTTCAATGGCTTTTGAAAAGGTTGATCCTGACAGGGGTAAACACATCAGAAGAAATATGTCTCTGTGATGTCAGAGGTTTGTGGATGTTATGCAGGGGCAGTGTATTTACCACAGAATAAACAGTTAGCTTTCAGTCTGATACTGCCTACATCACTACATCAGGCTGTGATCGGATTACACATGAGAGATCTCCAAAATGAGTGTGTGAGAGATCAGGTATCTCCAAACTGACTTTAAATGCTCTGTGTTCAGTCCTAATCACCTGGCTTTCAATGAGAAAACCCTTTAGCTTACATGATATCCTTCTTGTATGAAAATGTGTGATGTCATCAAGGGCCCATTTATACCAGGTGACATTATATTATATATATATTATGTTTATAGCGTTTATATTTTCTGTGACATTGTGAAACATCATCATTTTCGGCCAAAGCAGCTGTTTTCCCCCCCGCTGATCAAGCGGTTTAAAGCGGACTCCTTGTGTCTGCGTGCGTATGCGTGTGTGTGTGCATGTCCCTGGTGGGGGGGGGGGGGGGGGCGTCCCTCCTATCCTCAGTCCGCTCTGTGAACTTCGCAGTTTATTATTTGGTGTTGGAGCGCTCGGGATCCGCTGCCGGCCGGGGAGAGAGACGCACAAACGCACCGTCAGAAAATGACAGTAGAGAGAATATTTGCCGAGCTTGGACATTTCAAAAGGTACCCAAAGTATTTGTGCCTTTCTCCAGTCTCACTAAATCGACATATTTCCTTTGCTCTGTGAATGATTTCGAGTATTTTTGTGGTATCATTAGCAGCCTGTTGGGTAGTTTTGGAACAGTATGTAGCCTAACTTTTTATTACATGTTAAAATTGATTTTAAGAAACACCAAGAGAGCTCATCCCATCATTTGATAACTTGTGCACAGTGCTTTTGGATACTTTTACATCTTTTCTATCACATCACAATGCTTACTGAAGAAGGAATCTTCACTCAGAGGAACTTTTGTGTCCTTTCTTTGAACTATATTCCAGTTGTTTTTGTGCATGATTAATCTTAATCACTTGTCTGCAGCACAGTCTAATGTTCCTCAAATTTCCCTGAATTTTCTACAATACAGTAGCACAAATAGGATTTTAAGATTCATTAAAGGATGACCTGTTAAGGTGACCTTTTTGCAGTTATCTGTTAAATAGGAGACCTAGGGATTGGCGCCAAAAAGCTCACCTCTTCTTCAGCTCTTATGTGTCAGCAAAGGTTCTAACGCATTTTCTGTCTCTCCAGATTTCAGGCATGTCTCTATTTTGCAGCAGTCTTCCAGGCCATAGCCTGTGGGATCCACTACCTGGCCTCTGTCTTCTTAGTGGAGACGCCAAACTTTGTGTGCAGTGTGCCAAACATCACCGATGTCCTATACGGGAACCTGACGGGGTCTAGCCTGGAAGACATCCTGCCGGTTTTCAAGTGGGGGAGGGGGCCCTTGGTGGTGAGGACAGCTGAAGGAGAGCAGTGGGAGCTCAGCCGGTGCCGCTGCGCCCTGCGCATCAACCCAAGACACTTTACATACGACTTTGATGGCAACAAAACATTGAGAGCCTGTGATGGGAACTTTGCTTACGACCACACCGAAGTCCACCAAAGCATTGTGACAGACTGGAACTTGGTGTGTGAGAGAGAGTGGCTGGCCAAGCTGTGCCAGCCCACCTTCATGCTGGGGGTGCTGGTTGGAGCGCTGGTGTTTGGGGACATTGCTGACAGGTAAGCAGGGGCTGCAAAATGGAGGAGGAAGGGGAGGGTTCTTGCTTGCAAAGTGAGAATTCACACAGGAGAGGTAAATTCTGTAAGGCATGTGGAGTACAGTTTCACCATATAAGGAAGTTATTTTCACATGTATATGGAAAAAGAGCATAAATTCAATTAGTATAGACAGTGGCTATGAGAGCCAGCCTTTACAATCCTTTTTACAGGTAATCATAACTTCAGGAGGCATTGTTACACTTCTGCCTCAACATTTCACATGATGAATGATGAATATTCTCTGTCCTGCTCTGTGAGCCAGTGACTGTGTTGCCCCATAAGCATGGAGACATAAAGCATATGGAAAAAGGATAATGTGAGTGAGGTAGGGGTGGTGGATTGAGGGATGAAAGAATGGGAGGAGGGAGGGATGCAGGAAAAGCAGCCACAGACTTAAGTCTGATAAAGTCAGAGTTCAGGGTACACTTGCTTTGATGTCTGCTACCTATTTTATAAAATGGATCCCAGTAACCCAAGTTAAGATAGAGACGAAAATGATTAAATGCTGATGGCAGTGGTTATAATGAGTAAATCATTATCATCAAACTGTATGTTGTCTTATGCTTTTTATCCATGGTCTTATTCACCATATTATACCATGATTTTATGTGCTGGTCATTGTCAAAGTCTTATTCCCTTTTCCGTAGTCCCTATTGCTCACATTGTGAGGCAAAGTTTTGCTTGAGCAGGCAAAGGGGTTATTGTGGAGCAATTCTTTCATGTTGAGGGCAAAGTGCAATCCCATGTTTATATTGTACTCTCAACAGAGAACTCGAGAATATAGGTGTGATATAATTAGCTTAGCTTGAGCCACAGAAAATTAGTTGTATTACTTTACTACAAAGAGTTGCTAACATCACAGCTAACATTTTAAAGCAGAGCCACAGTGGCTTAAACAGCAGGTTTAAGGGTCTGCCCTCCAAGGTGGGTTAAAATCAGTCGTTGAAGATCCTTGCAGACATTTCACCTCTCATCAAAGAGCCTTCTTCACTTCTGACTGACTGGCAGGGAATCCCAACTATTTAATTTTGGTTGGGTTGTTATCAAGGTGATGGTTCCCTCCTGGTTCATCAGGGCTCTTGGCTGTTGTAACAATAGTCATTATGGTCGTTGGAGTCACCTGAGGGCAAGTCTGAACGACGATCGGCATTGTCATGTGAGGCCAAATGTAAGCGTCTGTTCAATCTCCTAGGAAGGGATGAAAGGACAGCACTGTAAGTGGGGGATAAGTGGTGTCACAGACCTCCTCCCCTGTTGAGAGATTGATTGATTGATTGATTGATATATTTATTTCAAACATGTTAAAAAACAAAAACAATTTAAAATAAGCATACATTCAAAATAACAAAAAACAACAACAAAAAAAACCCAAAAATATTTAGCTACCAAACATTTATGATTTCCAATAAAAGAAAACTTTTATTTACACGTTTGAAAGATGGTTTCTCTAATAGTGGGAATGGTTTCTTGGCTGAGATATCCTGCCAGTCAGTCAGAACTGAAGAAGCCTCTTGGATAAGAGAAACATCTTCAGGTATCTTCAAACAAGTCTAGTTGCCATTGAATTTAACTCACCTTGGATGGTGATGGCTAAGAATCTTCATTGACAACTTTTTGGGTCTACAACTTCAAATATGTAACATGTGCCATGCAATGCCTACATCATAATGTTAGTCTAGTGATACCTTGCTTACAGAACTGCATAAACTGAAAGTCCGAACAGAACTGGAATCTAATAGTTAACTGAATGATCCTTTATTTAGTGCATTGCTTGCCTGAATACATTAGCTCTGTCTGTCTTTCTCGTAATCATTCTCTCGCACCCTGTTTCTCTTTCTCTAACTGCATGGGATTCTCCCTCCTCCAGACTTGGTCGTGTGAGGATTCTGATGTTCACCAGCCTCTGTCAGTTTGGACTTGGGGTGTCTGTAGCGTTCTCTGGAAACTACTACTTCTTTGTAGTGCTCCGCTTCCTCCTTGCCATGGTATGTGCATTGTGTCTATGTTGTATGTGGTTGTTCTTGCATGCCATGGTTAGTGCAATTGGGGAAATGAAAAACTGATGATGTGGAATGAAATTATTTTCAGAGATAGTATACCAAAAGAAAGTAGGAAAGTTAGTTGGTACTTAGTTGGTAATCCACCAGTCTGAAAGAGCAGCTGGCAGAAACACTAATTTCAGTCATTTTGAAAAGTCTGTTTTAAGACTTGTATTCTGGACTTTTACAGAAGCCAGAATGGGACAAGAAAGGTGCTTACCTTCCACTTTCTGCACGTAAACAAGCATGCGTCTTCAGGTTCTGTACAAAACAATCTCTTAGCCAAACAAAAGTAAGATTTTAGCTCCAGCTGTGTATAATAAGAACATAACTATAAATCATACTTTATTTCTGCCCTCTTCTGTACTGGGAGTAAGATTTTTATATTTAGGTTGTGTTAGTTTCAAAGTATTTACTTAGTAAATACCATTAACATTCATATCAAACAAGGGAATGATACACATTAGCAAAATTAGCACATGATTGCTTAATGTCAATTTATAGAAATATTAAGGGTAGGATCTATTTTTCTGCATGTCGAAGCATAGATATCTATGTATATATAAATTTGACATTTATGTTAGGTAAATATCTAAAAATGTTGATTACGTCTTACAAATTGAATTAGGTCCCATGCTGGTAAAGGTCAGTTGGTGCAACATGCAAAGAAACTGAAATTCCCAGACCAACATGTTGAATGTAGTGACTGATAAGGAGTTTGGGAGTTAAACAGCAGTATAGCAGGTAAAGTAACAGTCTTTAGTGTGTCTTTGTGTCTTTATGAGTATGCATATTTGTGTTTTTGTGTACAGAGTAATGCATAATATGTGTATAAAAACCATGTTTACAAGACAAGGGAAGGGTGTCAATATGGTCCACATAGCAGCAGTTGTGCTGAAAGAGCCTCTACAGTCTGTCCACTGTTTCACTCCTCTCCGTCTTCTACCATCCCCCAGTCCATCTCAGCTACAGCTGTTGTTTTTCACATAGAATCAGACTACCAGATAGGATAGGCTCATACTGCACAGCCACACTTAACACCGTGCAGACTTACTAACCTGGTTACTGCCATATGTATTACATTGAGATCTCACCACATGTTTACCTGTGAGTTGCAGATCAATGTATAATTATAAATTTCTTTCTTAGGGGTACTGTATATGCATGCAAATGGCATAGAGATGATCTGACAATTGTTTAAAAGAGGAAAGGATATAGTTTTTCTTTTACAAATGAACACTTTCATTCATCAAGAATTAATCAGTCATAAAATTCTCCCTTACTTAGTTCAATACTCTAAGGAAATTTGCTGCTACGGTCTGATGTGGTATGACCAGCAGCTTATGGTGGCTAATGGTTGTAAACTTTAACATAGATAGTTATGTAACTTTTTAGCTGATTTTATGATTATAATTCTTATACATGCGCTACTCTTACACTAGCATTTCACTTTATTCTATAGTTGCCTGTTTTGGCCACAGTGGCAGCTGTATAGTAAAGTAACAAGTGTTTAATATGTGGCCTAAAGGAAAGACAAGCAATTTTAAAATCCTGATAAATGTAACAACTACTGTGGTAACAATACAGACACAAAGGTTTGATAAATGCAGTTCAACAGTTCATTGTCAACTTTATTTTGCAAACATGTATATTAAAATGTTTTTATGTTTTGAGCAAATTACCATTACAATGTTCCTACTTCAGGAGCCAAAATTCAACAGAGCATTCGTGTACCTTCTCTCTTTCCTCCCCCTTTTCATCTTTCAATCCTTCTTTCCCTTTCCTCCTTTTATCCGTGTTCTTTGTCCCATCTTTGCTTTTGGCAGGTGTCCAGCGGCTACCTTGTAGTGGTGTTTGTCTATGTCACAGAGTTTACTGGCATCAAGGTACGCACATGGACCTCTATGCACGTGCATGCAGCCTTTGCTGTCGGCGTCATGATCGTGGCTCTGACTGGTTACCTGGTGCGGGTCTGGTGGATCTACCAGATCATCCTCTCCATGTGCACGTCGCCCTTCCTGTTCTTCTGTTGGAAGTTCCCCGAGACACCCTTTTACTTGATGGCCAAGGGCCGTTACAAGGATACTCAGATCCTGCTGGATGCAATGGCCCGCTTCAATGGCCTTAAGTACAGGCTTAAAGTGGAGGACCTCCTGGAGCCAAAGGATAATGGCAGAGTTCTGCTGGAGGAGGGAGAGGAGCAGCTATTGCAGTCTGAAAAGAAGCTGTCCATCCTGGATCTGTTTGGCAGCTGGAGGATGGCGGGGCGTACGTGCACAGTGTGGGCCATCTGGTTCATCGGCAGCCTGGGCTACTACGTTTTCTCTTTAGGCTCAGTCAACCTTGGAGGAAACCAGTACATTAACCTCTTCCTTGCTGGTAAGTTTTAGAGTGATGAGTGTGAAGGTGCATGAATGAAGGAGGAAAAAAGTGGTAACGACATTGCAAATCTATACAATAATTTTCTGCTTAGGTCATCCAATTGTAGGTATATTTGTGTTTGTAGATGGATTAGGCAGCTTTTTTATTAGCTTTTGTTTTAAATGCAGAGTGGGTTTTTGTCTGTTTTATTGTGTGTACCATGAGGCTGGAATTTGTTTCAGGTAACTTGTTTAACAGATCCACCTCTTCCCTTGTAAACAAATGGGCCTCTTAGCTTAGTCCAGCCTAGTCGTTAACCAAGTTAACCAAGTTGAGCAGGAGTCAGCTTAACTCTCCAGTCTGTTTGCAATGTGCTGTTCTGTATTCTGTAAAATATTATGTTCATCTAGGGTTGTATTAGGAGAATAATATGCCATTAGGAAGGCAATGAGATCATTTCGGTTCTCCAGTTTGGCTGTTTTTGGTAACGCAGTGGGTAAAATAAACCTGTGAGCAATTAGGAAAATCTACAGCCCTCCATTTGCAAGCTAAATATTTTCCCTGTGGTTCATCTAATAAAGAAAATAACCTTTGTACTGTAATAAACATTTTTGTTAAACAAGACAGGAACTGATGTACTGCTCATGTAATGGTGTTTGGACAAATGTTCCAATTAAATACTAGGTTTGGTCTGGGAATTACATTTTATTAATTCAGCAGATGACACGAGTATTCACATTAAATAATTGTCAGGATATTTGGACTGGAATTGAAAAGCAGACTGAGACTGACAGTAAGTTGCAAACAGTTTGTTGAACGAACCAGGAGACCAGTACCATACACCTTTGACAAGTCCAGTGGAGAGACAGACAGGAGAAAAAGAGAAGGACGGAGAAAGAGAGAACACAAACAGATGAACAAAACCAAAACACACCAATCACTCCACACACAACAAAGGAAGAGGAATCAAAAATAACACACACTCACAAACATACCAGAATGTCACTAGATGAGGTTCAGGACGGAGGGGTGGTGACAACTTTACTTACTTTCCCCCCTCTTTATACTTAACAACAAGGCTGATTTAATGAGCTTCCTTTTAATGTCCAGTAGGAACATTTAAAATCCCCACTTATCTAATTTGGAGATATACTATGGAGCACATTTGGGAGACTGAGCTTCACCAACATGGTATTTAGGTCTCTGTGTCAGTGTGTCAGTGTCCCGAAAACCTCTGACCGAGAGCTGCTGTGATTGGCTGTTTTCAGGTGCCGTGGAGATCCCCTCTTATTTGGTTGGCTGTTTTGCAATGGACCGGATTGGCAGGAAGAAGACATGTGCCCCGGCTCTGCTCCTGGCCGGGGTCGCTTGTATGCTCATCATTGTGGTACCTGCTGTATGTACTGAAAGTGTGTGCGTGAGAGAGAGAGAGACAGTATGTGTATATGTTTAATTTTAGTGTTGGTATATAATAATCTTTAAATATTTATTTTTTATTATTTCTACTGACTCCAATACAATCTTTAGTGGCCCCATAACAAAAATCATAAATATGAACCACACAATTCAAGTTTATAGCAAGAATTGTATTATTTATCCTTATTTGACCCTAAATTTAAGAATTGTCCAGATGCCACACATGTCATGTTCAATGCAGGCAAATTATCCTTCAAGGAATGTTCTTACTTTATCCTGTTCTCACACTCATCATTAAATGTTAAATGTCCTTCAAATCCTGATTTCTAACTGCATTTGGGGCATTACACATGACAATGTCAACAAGATGTTAACTGTTAGTTTTGCGGAGTAAGAGATACGCTTACTGTAATATAGGGCTATTTTTAAAGTATTTTCTGCACTCTGTTAGCTCTTGAGTTTACTGTCCTGACATTGCCCCCGGCCACTGGACCAATGTTTCTGTTGAGACCTGATATACGACATGCCGTTCCCAGTGTGTGTCCTGAGCTCTGACCCAAATTAGCACCGACATGGTTGGGCTGACAAACAGCTGGTGCGTAATATCCAAGTAAATGTGACCTTTGACATTGAAAGACATTCTGAAGAGAGCGGTCAACAAACGTGAGCTGAAAAAGCCAGAGGAGACAGCAACGAATTGTCCACCTATCTATATTTTTCCTTTTTCCTCTCTCTGTTTGTGTCATTGCAGTAACTTCTGCAGGAAGACACAACGTAATGAAACTCCATCTGCAGGCTTAAATACACTCCCACATACCAGACTGCATGTAACTTTCTTTGGTAAACTGTATGGACAAATCTTACTTTGGCAAACATACCATAGTCTCTAACAGAACTAGGTACTTTAATGACTAAGTAGAATACATGACCTTTATCTAGTCAGACCAGTTCACAAGCAGCTATGTCCAGCTAGCTTGACAGTCCCCTGATAGTTACTTTGTACATTAGTTTGTCCGCTAATTGATCACGGTTTAGAGTATTTTACTCAAATTCTTATGCTGTCAGTTTTCAGATAGATAGATCGTTTACCAGATCTTTGCACAATGTGCTCTTCAGTTCTGTTCAGGAGTTTCTATCTATACTTGTTAAGCAAGTTTCATGATACATTTCTGAGCATTTCTGATGCAACCCTTACAGTTAAAACCTCATTCTGTCTCAAAGTACTGGTAACAGTCTCCCTTTTTTATCATGACTACTCTGATTGCTCTTGCTTTTGAATGCTGTGTTTGTCTACTTAGCTACACTGTACTGTATTAGTGAGGGAGTTACAGTAATAGCCGTCTCAAGCCTAACATTTATACTAATTTCAGTGGCTATACTTACCCTATTTTGTTGTAAATGACAAAACTGGCAAATACAACCAGTGGAAAATAACTCCCGCCACCACTGTCTACTTGTAATAGAAATAAAATTACCAGTGTTCAGATTCAGAGAGGACATGAGGTGGTTTCCGTGCCAGCAGCCTTGTGTGTTGTGTATTCACATGTGACTGCATACATTACACACTGCTAGTACCATGCAAACACACCATGGCACAGACTGCACCAAAGATGTTAGATAATTTAGTTAAAAGATAAAAGAACGTGTTAATTCCTAAGCTCAGTACAGCCAAAAATAAAGACTGTTGGATTCAGGCCAACAGTTCAAAAATAGCGTATTTGGTTGGGATAGCCTCAGACAACCCCCTCTCCTCTCTTTGTATCTTTAGTGTTTTCAGTCCTGGTCATGTTTTGTTGTCTGTGTCTGTTGCGTCATTGCAACAGACGGGATTATAGTTCACCAGGTGTTTGTAGTTTGAGATCATAGTTCACTTTGCAAGAACATTTTTTGCATGTAGTACACTACATTCACACACACTGTCCCATTCAAAAAGTGTACAGTATATGGTGTATTACAGGCCCTGCAGGACTTCAGTCTAACTATACTGTTCACACAGATGAAATACTCACATACAGAAATATGAAATACACACATGTAGCAATACAAAACACCACATTCCATTTAATATGTCCACATACAGTTATGTAAAATTAGTATAGTATCTATATCTACAGTGTCTTTGAATAATTTCTTTTTTTAACAAACATACATATGCTCACATACAGTATAAACACATGTATAAATGCATAAAAATAGTTTTGTTTAAGTCGTTTCCATTTCACAATGTATAATAATGAAGTAAATTACCGGTAGAGTGACTGAGGGAGCAGTTCAGTTTATTAGATCACATAGATAGAATGGAATTATATCAGTTCACTCATATATTGAGTTCATGCATACATGGGGTGCAGTAAGAGAGTCTGTGTTGTTGTTTAAAGCTAATGGAGTCAGTGGTCTGAAAAGTCTGAAGGTCAAAGGTCAAGTGTTTTTATGGATGATCAGCTGTAGTATCATTTACAGAGCAAAAAGGTCCCACAGTGATGCACAGACTTCAGAACAAGATGATGGGCAAAAGAGCAAGCTAATTACTTTTACTGGTATACATGGTATAAACATAGGACGTTCTTGTCTCTAACTTTCCGATACCTTCTTTCTCCTCCTCCCCTCTTTCCACAGGACAACGAGTCATTGGCCATCGCTCTCTCTATGACGGGGAAGTTTGCCATTGCCATTGCCTTTGGTCTCATCTACCTGTACACCTGTGAGCTTTACCCAACCATCATCAGGTAAGAACAAACTAAACAAAACACACACAGCGCCTGGAAACAGTATATATCCACTAGAATCAATTTGTCTTTTTAGATAAATCTGAATCTTCAATTTATCAGTGAGTTCAACTCATACACAACCCCAAATGAAAAAACTTCTCATTTGGCCTCCAATATTTTTTATAATTCTGTTTTAACAAACAGTAGTCTGTACATAGATTTTGAATGTGAAGAATAGCTAGCTTGTTTCCCAAAGCTTTAATATAAATAAACTAATTTAAACCCAAAGAGACAACAGAATAATTAGATCTTTTTAAAACACATTTTTGTTTCCATTCTTCACAGCCCTCTTGCATGTACACTTTTTATCTCATTGTGTTGTGTTTTTGCAGATCGACCCCTTTCCACAGAATATCATTATGGGCGCATTAAATCTGCCAGTTCAGTGTATTTCACGTCAAAAATATTTGAAAACAAACAGAAAAGTCAAGAAGCAATGCTTGTACTATTGGTTTGTTAGTACAGTGTTTTGTGCACAGCTGCAGATGATACATATTTTGATCATGAAGTAATGTTGCTTTTTAGAGAGTTTACAGTAATTGATTCATGTTTATATTGGTGGTGGTAGGCCTCACCATGCCTGTACTCTGACATCACAGAATCTCCTCTAATGTTGCTGATCTTGTGTGATCTCCCTCCAGGTCTCTGGCGGTGGGTAGTGGTAGTATGATGTGCCGTGTTGGCAGTGTGGTGGCGCCCTTCTGTGTGTACCTGGCGGATGTCTGGGTCTACCTACCTCAGGTATACGCACCCTAATCCGATTTGTCATAGTTTATCTACATGGGTATCCTGGCAACAAAACAAATCTTAACTAATTCATTTTTTCCTTTATTCATCATGACCCTTGTGTAGCTCATTGTGGGAATCCTGGCATTCATTATTGGAGTGCTGACATTTTTGTTGCCTGAGACACTGGGCAGACCTCTAACAACCACCTTGGAAGAGGCCGAAGCTCTGGGACGTAAGCCCAGTGAGATGAACTCAGACCTGGGCAATAAAGATGCTGAGGATGGGTTGAAGATGAATCAACATGAAGCCAAGGTCTGAGTTGTACACTGCTGGAAAACCAGCGAGACAGATGCACAGGGAGAAGCTTTGGGGGGGAAATGAAGGAAAAGAGAGGAGGTGATGGCTGCCATAAACTGAAAAAGAATCATCATTGAATTATTGGATTGTTTATGAAAAAAATCTAAAAGCAACAACAAACCTTTATCAGAACTTGTGGAAATTACATGTTTGTTGACATTTTGTTCTTCAAAGTGACCAATGATTGATTACTACAAAGGTCCTTTACAGGAGACATTAAACAAACCCTACTGCATTCATAGAGATCTGAGTAATGTAGCAGTCACCGATGCAGTGCAATCCATGAATTCAATGAACTGGAAAAGCGTGTGTGTTTGTGTGTGTGTGTGTTTGTGTGTGTCTGTGTTGTGTGTGCACCCATGACCAAGGAAATACGAAGTATATTAAAGGATTATTTTCACTTAATGACATCTTGTAACCAAGAGAAATAATAACTTTGTTGTCAAAGTAATTGCTGAGATTTGGGAGCACAGAGATATAGCTACCAACAAAGTCTGACAGCCAACAGCCAAATTATCCAAACAGCTTTATTTCGAGGTAAAAACCAAAGGCAGCACACTAGAAATATCAGTAAGAATACCTCCTATGCACAGGAAAACTTCAGCATACACAGCAGGTCAGAGTTAAACCACAAAATGTGATGTTTACAATGTCTGTAAACTGGATGACTGCTTGCCTTTGTTTTCTCTTTCAAATTGGTTCAGTTATGCATACAGATGCAATGTTATTCTAAGCACACAAAGCAACACCATGATCAAAACAATAGAATGTTTTATTCTAATAACAAAGAAGTGCCATTTTTAAAGTCACCCTTTTATTATTTTTAACTCTTTTTTTTATCTCAGGGCATCTGCTTTTGGATATCACTGTAAAATTATCCTAATATACCTTTTACTTTTTCACTTAGTTAAACAGTATCCATCCTGTTTAAGATGGTATTGCTTAGCTTTAACTTTGTTATTTAATGTGAGTGTGAGTGTGTGCGCTTCTGTGTTAGTCCGAACAATAGTTTGTGTCCAAATTTCAACATGCTTATTCTGTGTATGCAATACACAGCCGGACATACTGAAGGAAATGTATATAGAGTAATCTAGATGCGTCAAGATGTGAGATCCGGATGTTTGGACCAAGAATAAACCACAACAGTGTGGAGATTCACCTGCTTTACAATATGTGTATACTAGCATGTTTTTTTCATATCTTTAATCTGAAGAACAACTAAAAAATCATGACAATCAACTGTTATCCTTACAGTGATGACATTTGAACACTAGGTGATCAAAGTACTCAGGTTCAGTATTCAATTCTGAAAAGTTTTACAATCAGTAGTAAGATTTTTACTTATGAATTGTTTCTTTGTTAGTATTGGTTTTATTTTATTATGGAAAGAATAAATAAGAGTGAGATTGGACACTTTTAAATTCTGTCTTTATATGTACCTGCTGTAAAAACTGTAGTTCTACAGTGATACTGAGAAAAACATTTAATAAATGAGCAGTGTTGCAAGTAACAAGCTCTGTCCGTCTTCGTCTCCCTCTCTCTTTCTCTCTCTCTGTCAAACTGAAGGGGTTCAACCTGGTGCTGGAAAAGTAGGGAATCTATTTTTGCCATACGGGGAATATAGAGCAGGTCTGGGAACAGCCCACCAACACAAACAGCTTCCTATTCGCCAATGGAGAGGAGGTCCCTTACTGCTGTAACGCCACCTCCCCGTGTACCACCCAGCATATGAACAAACCCTCTCTGTTCAGCTTTGGAGCAGAAAGCTCTGCAGATGCATGACCGGTGTAACTGTGTGTGTGTGGGTTTGTGCAGATGGAAAAGCTAAAGTTATGCACTTTACTTGAACCTTTACAGCCAGGCTGCTATGGTGAACATCCAGTTCTGTCATGATACAGATGACCCAAATAGTGTGGGGATATTATTGGACACCATGGAGTGAAGATTGTGTCAGGGATTCCCATTCTCTCACTGTGGGAACCAAACTGAGCTGTAGACTTGAATAGACTCTACCAACATATGCGCGCACACACACACACACACACACACACACACACACACACGTTCAGATACTTTTCAGCTGCCCCATCATTATTACATTTTTATCAAGGGTTTAAAGAGATGTTTTAGAACTACAAAAAACAGTATTCACTGGGATTCAGTATCATCATATTATCTCAGACTCCAAACTGTATTTTCTTTTATTCAAGTGAAGTGTTAAAACAAAAGTCGAAAGAGGACACCATTTGCTGGTCATGACAGGGAGTTACATCGAACTGAATGTGGTTGAACTTTAACGTTTGTAAATAATTTTTATTTCAGATAATGAAATTTCCAACCAATACCATCTGGAGCTATTTGCGATGATAACTGTGTTACAGCTTGCGTTGCTTTTGGTCAGATTTTGCTTTCATACGCTCGCTCTAAATCAAGGTGAGCTGCAAGTTGCAAAGGTGCTTATTTATAATTAGTGAGCAATTTTTACGTCTTTTCTGCTACCTTTCTGTTGTCAAAACTACTAGAATTTGTTGGGGATGTATTTCACTTTACATGTTGTATATCTTGTTGTGAGTAATATTAACTGGAAAAGCAGAAAAAGTGAAAGCAGGTTGCCATGTTCACAAGCAATCAACAGCAAGCAACTGCAGGACTGAGGCAACAACACCAAGGTAACAGATTTAACACCACCCCTGTGTCAACACAGCATGTATCATCAAAAACTGCACTGAGTCTTAGAGAATGTAGACATTTTGAAAGGACAGGACCAAAATCAAGTGCAAATAGAGATGGAAGGAAGATGGAGAGTGGAACATGACATGTGTCTTAAAAATAATACTTATCTTTTCAGAGGATTTCTTATTTTATCATATAGGCAGTGTTGTCCTGACTGGAGCAGTGAAGGTAATTTCATAACTGGGGAGCTAGATGGAAGATGAGTCATGGTTGGGTGGAGTGATGGACAGGCTGCTGCTGCAGGGAAGAGAGTGCTACACTTGTAGAAATTCCTAGGTGATGGCGTGTAGGCTGCTGTGTTAGCAGCTGCATATCAATCTGTTATGTGTAGCAGTATGGGAGACTTTAGGCAGGTTGAGGATAAGCAGACTGCAGCATTCCTGATGGGGCAAACATGCTACAGCAACTTCTTAATAGACAAAAATCAAGTAAAGCAAAGACAACTGATGAAATAGTTAGAGGACATTTATTTTAAGACTGTAAAATGATGGACTGCATTAGCTGTTGTTAACCAGTTTTCAGATGTTGATATAAACCCATTCTAGACACTTAAAATGCCAAGAATAGTTTCATAGCCGCCAATAAACCAGTTATTAAACATTTTTTTTCCTTCCTGAGAATCTTATCTGGAACGCAAATGAATACAAAATAATAAATTAAACTGGCAAATAAGGACACACAAACGAGGACAATGAAAAGGTACAGGCAATGGAGATTAGGATGGTAGAGTGAAATACAGTAGGTGACAGTCACACATTAGCTTATGGTTACTGCTCTCTGGATGATTTTTACATGAGTGATGAAAAACATGCACTCTGAATAGCTGCTGGAGAATTAAGAGAGAGAGAGAGAGAGAATTTTAGCTGGGACCGGTAACACTTCACACACTCTTTTGTGATTATATTTTGAGAGGGAAAACAAAACCTTAGACAGCACCATAATTCCACTGGAAAATTAAAGGCAAATCAGTATCCAGTTTTGTGACCAAGTCCCTCATTTTGCTGCAGAATTTCAGGAAAAGTCACCTCAGGAAAAGTGCAGTATACTTCTACAGTTTTGTAATACATCGCAGTAGAAACATTGGTATTTGGCAAACTCAATCTTTTAAACTTTGGATAAAAACAAATAATGCTCCTTATATGCTTGTTAGTGTTTGAATCTCAAACCAGCATATTTTCTCAACAAATGACTTGCTCCAAATAATAAATCCATGCTAAAATACACTGCTGGTTTGGTCAAAACCAATCATCCATGCACACACAGTTGGAATTCTTTGAATTCATAATTGAGTGCTTACCGTTTAACCCTCATTTATACCTAATAATAATAATATCTTACAAATTAAACAAAATGTTAATAACCAATACTATAACAACTGACTATGTCATGACTCCACCAGCTGTGCACAGAATGTCCTGTCAGTAACTAGACCTCTTAGTGACCTTTGGCACTTATAACAGTCCTAAACAACTAATATACAAAAATGGTTTTGGTACTTTTTTTATTTGTGGATACCATTTCCCATTCCAGCTTTTAGGAAATTAACTCTTTCATAAAGTATGCACCTCTTTCTTGGGAAACGTCTCTGAAATCCTTTCACCCAAGCAACCAACACTTATTTCCCAACACAAGGAAGCGCTAATCTCTCCCGGAGATAATAGCAATGATGGACTTTTGACTTAAGCAAACCCAAAAGCAAGCTCAAATTAAAACAAAACTTGAGTCACATAAATTGGGCTTAACATTATTTTCCATTGTCCTTGGTGAATTTTTAAATAGAGCATTTTGTCCTTCCAATTACTCAACCCCTATAGTCCTCGGTGCTGAGCCTGTCGTGATGGGAGTCTATTGCAGAATGGATATCAGAGCCCATACAAACAGGAGCATCTGGATCTGCACACCCCTAAACACACCTCACTTTTCTCACGAATTGCTGAAAGACAGGGAACACTCCCCGTCTGCCCTCAGGCTTCCTTCAGCTATCTCCAGCCAATTCTAGCCAATCAGCTTCTTTTTGGGCTACATCCACTGTTCATCAAACAGTCCTTAGGAGTGGACCAGCCAGCTGTTTGCATCCTCCAGGTCTGCTTCCAGCTCCTCGTCTTCGTCCAGAGGCTCTGGGGTTCGGAGGGCCAGCTCTCGAAGGAAAGCAGGTGAGTAGGCGGTGGGTTGGGAGACAGACCTGAGACCAATTTTTTTCTTCATGAGGTGGAATTGGTCACGGATGAAGTTGTAGAACTCATACTCGTAGCGCATACGGTGGTACAACACCTGCAGGGCCTCCAGAGTGGGCGTGTGTTTACGTACTGTGCCTGTCATGTTCCCCATTTTCCTATAGTCTGCAAATAGAAAAACAAGAAGAAGTCAGTTGCATGCAACTTGAAAAGAATCCAATCAAAGAATCTGACTACAAAATAAAAATGTTTTTAAGAAAAATGCATTTGCCAAAATTGAAGGTAACATTGGCTATACATGTGAATCTTAAACATGAAAAAAAAAATGAGGAACATGAACTTACCAGGGCTCTTGTAGATGTTGAGTACTCCAGTAAAGTAATGAGGTAAGAGCCTCTCCAACAGGAGCAGAACATCCTCCAGCTCCTCCAGGATACCAACAAGGAGGTAGTTCTCCAGCACATTCTGCTTGGCCCTCTCCAGAGCCCATGCTCCTGGCTCCCTGGTGGAGAGAGAATAAAAATAACGAGTAAGAGACAGAAAGACAAAGAGAGCAACAGAGCAGAGTGTGGGAAATTTAAGCAAATGTAACCAATGTCTAAAACATCAAAATACCTGCATTGGGGATGCTGTCCACAGAAGTAGGGAATGATGTAGAAAACTCTGGGGTTGGAGCACTCTGGGTAATTCTCTAGAATGCACACATTGATATCCTGAAAGCAAACAAACAATCCTTTTTAATTTACAGTTCTCATTCTGCCATAGTTTTCGTTCCACTTGCAGTAGATCAATCTCCAACAGAATTGTAATGGCTTGTGTCTGCCACTAGAGGAAGACCTTCACCAACACTGCTGTGAACTAGTAGTAGATAGTCATCATCTGAGAAGGCAGTGCTATGCAAAACAACATCCTGAGCACAAAGATAAGCTCTGCCCTTCTGCTCAGCTGCTCTCAAGAGGCTGAGGTGTTAAAAAAACATAGTTTGTTCTAATCAAATTAGGTTTTGTTTATTGATTTGTGCTCATTTGAAAAAAAGTGGACTTACAATAATCTAGAACCAATAGCTTGTAATTATGCAGTGATCAAGCAGGGATGACCATAAAGATTTCATGTCTTGAAGTAAAGGGACAAGATCAGAGTTGTGAACTTTAAAACACCCCATTTCTAAATATAGGAGCTATTAAACAATGAAAGGGAAAAGAAAACAGGGTTAAGATTATAAACACACATGCATGAGCGAAGCCGGCCAGCCACTAAGTGCTGTCGAGCTAGCAGTCAAATCCATGTCAGGTGACGTAAGCCTTATGGATGGCAACAAGTCCCGAGCAACAAAACACTCCACGAAAACATGACTTTCACACAAACACACAAACAGGCGCATGCAGCCACCTGCTCGTGCTCAAGCACACACGTACAGTAGCATGAGGCGAAAGGTGTTGACAGGCCCGTTGCATAAAAGAGAATGGGGTCTAAAAGTGGAAGGAAATTAAAAGTGGAATGATTTGTGTCAAAAACTTGCCTTTAAGAATTATACTCAGATAAGTTGGTAACAGCTGATTTAAACAGCACAATTTATCAAAGCCAACACCGACGCCAACGTTCTCCATCACAGAGATTAGGTTGAGTCAGCCAGGACCAGAGGCCCAGACCTAACCAGAGTACGCAGACTGCTATTGAGGGTGAGATGTGAGGGGCCTGCTGGTGAGGCAGGTGACTGAAACACCTCACTGACAGGGGTGTAAACATGGATAAAGGCACGATACCAAGTGTATATGAGCATGTTTCAGGTTGGATTGTGTGCCTTTTAGACAGTTGACACAGTTAGCCTTTGATCAGTTTGTTAAGTGTTGTGTTTTTTGCTGCGTGTCTACAATAGCGGTGATACAGAATGAGACAGTTCACAGTGAAAAGGGATTAATTCAACTATATCACAAATCGCATAGCTGTACATCTTGATTTCACTCAGGCTCCTAACATTGTAGCCACAACAGGAAGTGTGTGAATGCCTCCATAGACATCTATATACATAAGCTGGGATGACATAAATTATGCACTTGGTCAGTTATTTTTGCCTTACAGCTGAACACTGTGGTGCAATTGTGTCTCTGATTCACCAAGCTGCTGCAGGGTTTGTTTGAACTTTATGACTGAGCTGCACTATGCTCTGGGAACAGGACTTATTGGTGATCAGTGAAGCAAACCACTGGAAAGCTCTTCAAAGAAACCACCAACAAAACCCCAGAGGAACCTTTAGAAAACAGTTCAACATTGCGCCACTATTAGCGTGCCAGTCGTGTGGTGAGTTTGCCCTGTGTTTCTTCGACTCATAATGTTTGATTAGTCAGAAAATGACAGTGAGTGTTATCAGTTATTGTACGAGTATATCTCTTTTCCCTGTGGTTTACAGTTTCCTGTCTGATGAGAATTTGGTCTTTCTCACAAAATCCAATAGAAAAACAAAGATTTTGGCAGCATATTCTGTGTAGGAAACTATTATCACATGCAGAGACTTCAAAAGAAACTCAGATTTCATACATGGACTGACTTGAACTCAAATGCAACACAGTTACATTTCACACACATGCTAATAAACAGATACTGTGAAAAGACTCCAGACGGGCTTTCTCTACAATTAGCCTGAATGCAGCACAGCACAAAGGCTCCCAAGAAAATCATTATGAGCCAAATTAGAAACAGAAAAAGTAAGAAAAAAACAAGTGAGAGTCAGGGACAAAGAAACAGAGAACAGTGGACAGGAAGTGACACGTGTGACGCCATCCCCTGACACATATGGCTCATTGCCAGGAAGTCCCTGCTTCGCTTTGCTCCGACACTTGATGCCTTATGCCTCAACATTTAGGGGACCTCTGGGAATCCAGCCACAACTCATTTATATACAACTGCTCACAATCAAATAAGCACACACATGATCGAAAATACGCGCTCTCTGAAGAGAACCCATTAGTATTTCAAAGAGAGCTCTTGTGTGCATACTCAGGCTCGTTGTTTCTATTCTCGCAGTGGATTAAGCCAACTGAGCAGTCACAGAAACTGTAGGAAAATAGGGCCTAATCTCTACAACAGCCTCCCGTTTTACTGAATGGAATGTATGCGTGAATTAAATCAGGAGTAATTGATGATGTAAACCTTTCCCATGGGACAATTTGACTCGGTTTCTTCCACAGAGCATGGGAGTGACACCCAGGTCAAATCAAGCATTGGGGGCAGCGGAAACAAGCTCTAAATACAACACTGACATATTTTCACTTTTTAAGTTGATCTGTTAAATGTGTTAGCAAACAGGCGCTTATTGATACATGCAACAGATACGGACAAACATTAGCATTCACCTGGAGTCGTGTTTATGTCTACCTGATGAATGTAAACCTAGCGTTCACTCTCTTTTTAGCTCTGTTTTTTTTATCTCCACCAACTCCTGAGCAAAATACCCGACTTATTTATTGTTAAATGCTACGCTATGTTCACCAGTTAGTTGCTAACTTTGTGTGTCACCTATTTGGTCACCTATGTAGTGTATATTTGGCTTTACTGCTTTTTAACTGAAAACAGCTGCTTGCTATGACCCAGAACTACACTGCAATTCAAAAACAATGAAAAGATGCTAAAAGATGCTAAAAAGCTCTGGGGAGCTCAGGGGAGTTGGGTGATCATTGTATGTGAGTATATACATGGAGGTGACACATTTTACATACAGTTACACGATTCATTGTTAATATAAAAATATTAAATATAGCTGCTTTAAACTAATAATTCTAATAATTTGTTTTTATTTGAACTCAGCTGCATCCAAGCTGCCAATCACAGAAATCTATACAAAAATGATATGAATATACTTTTCTGTATCTTAAAAGAGAGCCTGATAGATGTGACCCATAAACTTCATGTGTTGGTTGAACTTTAGGCAATCAACACTGTGACAAGATACAACATACCTTACTATTTCTACTGTCAAGGCATGCCAGGGCATGATTGATACCAGTAAAGCCTCCCTCATTATGTGTGTATTTGTTAATGAGTGTGTATGTGTCATTTTAAATGTCAGACTAACTGACAACTGATGACTTTCACTTCCTGTGGGAATCTCATCTGATCAGACCGGTATTTTTGAACTAATCTGTGTTCTTTTTTAATCTGTGACATTTTGCATGCATACTCACATGTGTATGAACACACATTGTGCTTTGTGATAAGGCAGAGCCTGATTAATCACTCTCTCCCAACTGTTCAACTACTACTCAACTGCTCCCTCTGTATTTATCATTTTCATAAACACATCTAAATACGCACTTAACTCTGTACAGTAATGAAAATAATCTGACCAGATCAATCTGAGCTGGCTTTTTAAAGCCCATGTCATTCTAAACAAAAGCTTATAATTTAAGTCCTATGTGACTACGTCCATGCATGTGCTCAGTACCATGTCTGTACTCTCTGTGCTCAAGTGTCCACTGCATGCCTTTGTATAGCGTAGTGTATGTGTGTGTAAAAAGGGGTGTGGGGATGGAAGGAAAATCCAAACTGACCACAGGAATGTCTCAGTAACACGTGCATCAGGTTCCTTTGGCCCCGGCTAGCAAACTGACAGTGTTCTTTCATTGGCACCTCTCATATACAACCAGCGCAGGGCAAGTAGGGCTAATGTACACCAGGCAGGGGATGTATCCAGTCTGAACTCTGAGTGTTGACATAGCAGGGCACTCACGCCGACACCTACACATACATTCTGGAAATGCTATACTTGCGAGGACATTCATCTCCTGGCCTGAAATCTGGACCTACACTCACTCCAAAACACAGTCAATCTTAAAGCTTTATATTAAGGCTTATTCTGGATATCAACATTGAATAAAAAATAAACTCCCTGAAGGGAGAAATTGTTCCTGAGAATCAATGCTGCACTTTCATTGTTTTGGGTTGCTGATTTGTCAGGCACTAGCCCTCTCCAAAACTGGTTTCCAAAAGCCGACAGCTGCTTTCAGCACCAGCTAAACAACCGCTTGGCTTTAAAGCTAAATCCTTAATCCCAATCTTAATCTTAGTTCTACCTAAAACATAAAATCTTACTGTCACTTAGATTTATTGTAAGTCTTTCCCTCTTCCCCATCACTTACATACAACTTAACTCCCCCAAATATAGGACTCATTCAGTGGAAATATCTACAACTGGATTTTGGTGTATACAAACTGCATAGATATTATGTTACTGTCATATTAGTGTTTCTTAGATGGCACCATCATAGAGAAGCAAAATATTCAGTTCTTGTTTTGCTTTGCTATGTTTTCTTTTCTGACTGCCACTCCTGGTGTTATTTCTTTTTACTGACTGTGCTCATTAGCAACAACAACCTAGTTTACCTATTTAGCAAAAACAGCTAGCACTTATGTGCTAAATCATATCTATAAACAGTGGCTGCCAGCATCTGTACAGTGCTATAGACTGCAGTTGCATTAAACTGCTACACACTGCAAAATGTACTGAACTTCAGTGAAAAAGCAATTACAGGCCAAAGTATGAATTTAGGAATCAACATAGAGTCACAGACAGACACAGACTGATGTGTAACAGGTGTAAATATTTAATAGTTTAATATGCTAAAAAAAGATTTTGTTTAGATGCTGGCAGCCACTGTTTATAGATATGATTTAGCACATAAGTGCTAGCTGTTTTTGCTGAATAGGTAAACTAGGTTGTTGTTGCTTATGAGCACAGTCAGTAAAAAGAAAAAACACCAAGAGTGGCAGTCAGAAAAGAAAATAGCAAAGCAAAACAAGAACTGAATATTTTGCGTCTCTATGATAGTGCCATCTAAGAAACACTAATATGACAGTAACATAATATCTATACAGTTTGTATACACCAAAATCCAGTTGTAGATATTTCCAATGAATGAGTCCTATATTTGGGGGAGTTAAGTTGTATATAAGTGATGGGGAAGAGGGAAAGATTTATAATAAATTTAAGTGGCTGAAGGCAAACGTCAGATGCTGTATTCTAAATGCATAAACTAGCCCCAAACAAAGATTGTCATCTCTTTGGAAAATGTTAGTCAGTTTTAAACCCTGTTAAGGACTGTTGTACCCCGCCTCCCCCCAACTGTAGCAAGGGGCCCCCAAGGTCTGCATACTTTAATAACTCAACTCACATGGTCAAAAACTCCAGGGAAAGCAGTGCAATACTTAATTACACCCAGTCAGACTCAAGCTAGAATGACATTCACTCCTGGTAACCTCTCAGTAAGGCCTTCTGACTGGGTCTCTGACAGTATGCAGTGTCTATGACTAGCAGTGTACATGTGTTTTGCCATGAAATCTTAAAGTATTGATATAATCATAGTTTTGACCTGTTTAATCACCAAACTATTTTCTTTTTTCAACTACCTGCTACTCTAATGTTTGTCTTACTTTTCCAACCTGACATTAGACCCATCTCTTCACTGCTAACTGCAATGTACTATGTGTCATCAAAGTGTGTTTAAGTAGCTCCTTCACCATGTAAAACTCACACAGAGATCAAAAAATGGCAACTTGAAAATTAAAGTAAGGCTCAAAATGGCATGTCCTGTAAAATATCAGATGCATTGCCTTTAGTATGGTGCTACAGGGATAAACACCAAAGCAGATGTCGGATTTCGAGTTTCTGATGTGGTTATACTAAATCAGGTCTCTAATTGGAATCATAATCAGATTTAAATACTGGGTTAGCAATAGTCTGCTGTGTACAATTTTCCTTCCTCCCTCAAGCAACACCACGTGTTGAACATCTTCAAAGAGAGCAGTGGTTTCAATATATTTCTGTATGGAAGAAATGTTCTGTTGCTTATATTCTAACATTTAGGAAGTAAAATTTTGTCTCAAGACAACAACAAACAGGGATCTTAAATACAAGACAACAATAATCTGGTTCACACACGATATGTTATTTATCAGTTATTTTAATGAATGAATGCAAAAATCCTTTGTCAGTAGGATTATTTTCTTGTAATGATTTTTTTGTGGAAGATGTGTTTAAATAACATAGTACAACAGTATCATCACTGTTTCTCTGTACCACACTCCTTAGCTCATATGCCTTTATAATTATTTTACATCAAGGTCATACCAGAATAAGAAATTAGTATATCATCTCAGTTCTTGTCTTAACTGAGCTTCAAATCAGCTGGCCTGGAACCAAAACAGATAAAGCACTGTTATTGGCAAGCCAGTGACTCAGTAATAAAATAACCATGCAGCTCTGTCAAATACTGCAAGTGCATTAGTATTTCAAACTATAAACATTTGTGGCACTGATTTACTTAATGTCCATATGAGAGTAAATGGGCTTGTGGGCACTGGCACCGAGATGAAAGGCAGATAAAGGGGAAGAAGACTAAAAGTTTCAGTATTTGTTTGACTCTTTAAATAATACTGTTTTCTACTCTGAGCACTGATTCCCTTTTGGACCAGAGCACTATGGTATCCAAATGTGGTGCCCTCTCTGAAGCTCCTGTATAAAAGCTGGGTATTTTGATATGAAAACTGCTCATCAGTTCTGCACATAAGTTTTCTTTGGGGAGGAGCTTATTCATGGGGGACCTTGTTAGTTCTCTTCATCACAAATGTGATACAGTGTTGGCCAAGGATGCACTGCTTAGAAATGGGTAAAAAAAATGGGGTTGACACTAGCCCGAAACACACAAACAGATAATTAATTCCTCCTAATCCAACCTATTTCCACCTGCCAAGGCAGGTGCAAAGCTTTGGCCACAAAACCACTACTAAATAATCAACCTACCCTACACTGTGTGGCAAAGACACAGTTCTCTTCAGTGACAAGTTGTGCACCTCACATTTACATTTACAGTATGTATTAAGCAGTTAAAAGACTCATCAATAGAAACTTACAGCAAGTTTTTAAACTATTAAACCATTAAAAATTTTAACATGGTAATCAACACACCATTAGTCAAGATTGAAAAACTCGAAGCTGTCCAGACAATCTGTGTTGCAAAAAGATGTATTGTCTCTACGCATCATTTTTCTCAAATGAGAAATATATCCACTCTGCGAAAAAACAATCAATTTCAGACACTGATTTACTCCATGATACACACATCTATAAATGCTTGAGAAAATAGCTTAGTCTTTCAAGTCAGAAACCTAAAAACAAAGACCTTACCAGGTATCTCTCATCATCTTTCATCCCTGGAGTGCGGATGAGGTGATTCTGCTCACCCCTCCAGTCACCAAAGCGACGGAAAAAGTAGTTGGAGAGGAACCGGTTGATGGGGTCCCGGATTATATTGATATAGACAGGCTGCTCTATCCTGAACCTTCCAAAGGCAAAAAAAGTTTATTAGTTACTGTATTTCCAAATGCTGTTGATAAGCATCATTGTACATTGGGGCACTACTGTACCTGGTAAAATTTAGGAAGTGAACATGCCGTGTGAAGAGGTATGGCTGAGGGATATTACTGATGTTCTTCATGAGATCCACCTGAAAAAAACAAACAAAGAAACCCACACAATTGATCTGACGTGTCTAATGGAATAAAATAAGTGTAAAACACAGTATTTGCCATAAATGTGGAAAATCATCTCAGACAAATGGAGATATAATCTGAAGTGCCAGTTCACTTCAGACGTCATGGTAAAATTCAAGCAATTATTACATTAATACACGATAACCAAAAGAATACGCAAGCTCCTGACACTGTGCAGGGACACCTGACATTGATAGAGGATTCCCAAGAAATTAAATGCCGACAAAAAACAAAGAACGTCTTCAGGATGGTCAAATGGAACCAAGAATTCCCATCCCAAGTGATTAAAAGAGTACATGACCGTGGACAAATGATGCACTTTGGCTGTGTATTTATCTGGCTCTGGGTCCACCTTGATTCAATTTGCAGAATGTTCCACTACAGACTGACCTCACCACAGTTTCCACCTCTGCCTCGACTGCACAGCTTCACCAAGTAATATCATTGTTTTGTTCATAACAATATTCATCATTCATAGATCTAGTTTCCCCTCGGTCATTCCCACGAAAGCCAACATTTTTAAAGCAATTATTAGTTTGTTCTTCCTCTGCTGCTATAAAAGATTAAAAAACTTCCCAAAGGATTTCTAGGTCTGCGTGGAGCCACAGGCTCACACTAGCCAAAACAAAGTGAGATAACAGAGTGCAGATTACTTGCATGAGCTCTTTGACTGAAGACCATGTAACTTAAACTTAATTCTTAGTCGTTTATTACATAAAAAACTCCACGTTGGAATAATTCTGTACGTGAGATCCAGTTATCCCACTTATGCATGTAAGAAATTAGTGACTATGCAAGTTATGTCTCTGCACCAGTGGAACAACATGTCTAATTTTGAAGTAATAAAAACACATAATAATGATGCAAAGTAATGACCTTGGCAATAAGCCCTGCATTATGATGATTTTTTCAAATATGTCAGAATCTATCCAAACTATACAGATTAAGACTTGAAAGTTACAGGCTGAGTGCAAGAAGCATCAGAGATGAGAAGACTTTTGGGGAATCCCAGAGAAATAATGGTCAAGGAAATTGTCCATGAATTTGTCAAGAGTTTAACTAGTAGACTAGTAGTCCCTTAATTTTTCCCTTTTATCTACCCAGTTTAGCAAGACTGTGTCCACTGTACTGTTGTTTGTGTTACAGCTAACTACACTTCGGGTCTGGGGGTGGTCTAGGCAGCCAAGTGCCACATCTGTGACACATGCTGTCACCAGACGCTTCTTTTCTTCTGCCAGTAAGAATATGCAACGGCCCATTTTGTTAAATCCGTTTCCCCACCATCCTTAACTCCATGTTGCAGGCCCCTTGACCAATAAGCAGGTGCCAGTATTGCAGAGACAGTTGGCCCCTCACTGGCTTCCCACTGGAAAACACTAACATCTGTGCTACAAGGACCACACAGCCATGGTACTGCTATAGTGAATTGAAAGTGGATAGTCACAGAGGTGGGTGTGTGTATGGGTTTTGGCGAATGGCAAGGCTGGCCCGCAAAGCTAACAGCAGGTGACAGGCAGGGAAAGTTTAAAGGCCAGGCTATATTGGAAACACAGTAAAAATACTCTTCTACATAACTAGTTGACAAGTGGATGTTCACAAAGTTAAGCACAAATGAATAATGAACAACAGCTGAAGTTCAATTCAATTTGTAGACAGTAACACACAGGCAAAGGAAAGAAAGAAACAGGAAACCAGGGAATGGTTGGAAAGGAGGCATACACAGAAACAGAAGGAGGAGGGTCCAATAGTATCTGATAGCTCTCAAATACTCTTATTGATCCAGATGCTAAAGGTCCTAAATAAAATCAGGGTCTAGGCTCCTCTTCACTGGTACTCGAATGGGTTCTTCAGGCAAAAACCATCCATCTTCTGCAATATTAATCTTCTTGATGCTGATGTTTGGAAGATACAATATTCATTATCTTAGTTTAACATGCTAGCATGCTAACATTTGCTAATCATAAATCATAAATCATCTTTAAAAGTGATCACTAAAATTTTAAAGTCAATTCTAAACATACTGTGAGCCAGTGTAATGAAGCTAAAATAGGGGTGATGTGGTCATATGTCTTTGTTCTGTTAAAGGCCTGGCAGCTGAGTTCTGGACAGTCTGGAGTCGATCAGTAGATTTTTGGGTTAAACAAGTGAAAAGGCTGTTGCAATAATCCAGGTGTGATGAGATGAAGGCGTGTAAAATGGTCTCGGTGTCCTTAAAGGTTAACATAGATCGAATTTTTGCTATATTCCTAAGTTGATAAAAACATGATTGAACAAGCTTTGTGGTGTGCTGCTCAAAATTTTAATTACTATCAAACCAAACACCAAGGTTCTTTGCAACAGGCTTAATATGATTTACTAGGGAACCTGCAGATGGCAGTATTTGCTTTGCCATCTGCCCGATGACCAGGATTTCTGTTTTGTCTGAGTTCAGCTGGAGGAAATTATTTGACATCCATTTTTTAACTTCACAAAGGCAGTTGTTAAGTGAACTCAGCATTCCAGGGTCTGTGGATCTGACGGGCAAGTATATTTGTGTGTCATCAGCATAAATGAAAAGAATGAATGAATGAAAAGAAATGCCATGTTTATGGATAATATGTCCAAGGGGAAGCAGATACAAGGAAAACAAAATGGGTCCTAAGACCGACCCCTGAGGCACACCATATTTAACTGGACAGAACGAGGAGACATAGTTGTTTACAGACACGCAAAACTTCCTATTTGACAGGTAGGATGAAAACCATTCTAGGGCAGTACCAGAGATCCCCACCCAGTGCCTCAGTCTGTCTAACATGATGTTGTGATCAATGGTGTCAAAAGCAGCGCTAAGGTCCAGGAGTACCAGGACTGAGCACATGCCTTCATCAGCAGACATTAAAAGGTCATTGGTGACTTTAAGCAGGGCAGTCTCAATGCTGTGGTACTTCCTGAAACTAGACTGAAACTTTTCAAATATTTTGTTATTTTCCAGTACAGTGAGCAGCTGTTTGGACACAATTCTTTCTAGAATCTTTGCAATAAAAGGCAGTTTTGAAATTGGTCTAAAATTATGTGGGAGGGAGGGATCTAAACCAGGTTTCTTTAAAAGTGGGTTCACGCAAGCCGTTTTAAAATAATCAGGGACACAACCAGTAGATAGGGAGCTGTTGAAAACAGAGATCAAATGGGGGCCAACAGAATCCATTACTTTCAGTAAAAATTTTGTAGGTATTACATCAAGTGGGCTGGAGGACACTCTCATTTGTGATACTGTTTGGGATAAAACTGGTTAAAACTCTCTTGTTGCTGGTGAGGAACCTCTGAGTAAGAGGCCGCGGGGGTAATAGAGGCTCTGATTGACACCATCTTATTGGTAAAATAAGATAAAAACAATTCAGTCAATACAGTCATCATTACTTCCAGCTGAGGCACAAGGAGGGGTTGGGTTTACCAGCTGATCCACAGTCTTAAACAGAAACCTGGGATTGTGTTTATGTGTAGTAATGAGTTCAGAAAAATAGTGTGTTCTCGCATCCTTAACCATGTTATTGTAGTTAATTAATAAATCCTTCAGACTGAGGTAATGGACTTGGAGACTGGATTTTTTTCCATCTGCGCTCTGCTTTCCTGCATTCCCTTTTTAGGCTGCGAATGCTGTCATTTATCCAGGGTTGCTTACTAGCTTTAGACGTAGGCCTAGTAATATTTGTCGTAATATTTAGTGTCGACAAGCAGATATGATTGAAGTGATCGACCAGATTGTTGGTGTTGGAATCAGACAGGTGTTGGCTTTGGCTCTGAAAGAATGCGCAAAACTTTGAAACATTTTGTTCATTAAAGATGCGAGAACACACGGAGCTTGGTGAGGCGGCATGAGTAACAGGCGATTCGCAGCTAAAAACAATACCTCTGTGGTCAGATATGGTCATGTCCACCCATTCCACAGAGGAAATGCTGACACCCAGGGTAAAAACCAAGTCCAGTGTATGACCACAGTTATGTGTTTGCCCTTTGACATGTTGTTTGAAGTTAAAAGAAGTGGCCATATTTAAAAAGTCAGTTGCATTAACATTGTTGGGGTCATCAACATGAATATTAAAATCGCCACAAAGAACAATTCTGTCATAATTTAAAACCAGAGTAGATAAAAATTCAGGAAGTTCTGATAAAAATCCTCCTGGCAGTTTTGGGAGGCGATAAATCATAACAAATATGATAGGTTGCAGCCCTCCAACTTTAAGAGTACGAACTTCAAAGGAGTTAAATTCATCACAGCGTACTTGATGACATTTTCCCTATACACGCTCACTAGCCCACCACCACGACCACTGACCCTCGGTTGACTAAAACAATCATATTGAGGTGGACACAGTTCAGCTAGCTGGCTATAGTCATTCATTTGCAACCAGGATTCAGTTAAAAACATAAAATCTAGATTTGCAGACAAGATAAAATCATTTAAGTGTTGTAGTGTTATACAGTAGCATCAATTGCCAATTTAAATAAATGATATCATAAGGCTATATAAATTTTAAATGATGTTATAACTCAGATTGCAGAGTAAAATAGGATAATGTCAACTTAGTTATGTGTAGTGTAAATTTATATAGGAATCTCAAACTTGCTTCAAAGTAATAAAATATGTACAAGCCACTTGTGAAAAAAAGCAGACTAATTTCAAATAACTCTTATGACAGGTCTGGACCACTACTAAATTGTGTTTGTGATTAAGAGAAAATGCAATGCCTCTTGCATGAGGCCCAGTGATCGTTTGGGGTTAGAAAGCATGGGTTTGGGAGTTAAAGGACTGGGAATATCTGGCTTGATGCAGAAGACATACAAAACTGGATGAATCTGAAAATAGCAAGGGAACTTCGGTGCTGCAGCAATGTGCTATATGACAAAAATATGGTGTTTTTTGAAAATGAAACCATGTCAACCTAATCTGGTACAACTCCTAAATGCAATTATGAAC